TTTTTTTTTTTTTAACCAACTTGCGGTCGGTATTATCGAGAAGTTATTTACCATTTATCGGCAAGTACCGAGAGATTTTAATATCTCGTGGAAAAATGATCGACGTTCGCCCGTTAATTTCAACTTCGTTAACATCGAGTGGCTCGTGTTTAGTAATCGACTTGCAATTAATTATTGCAATTCTCATGCCGGCCAGTGGCACAACGCCAAACGAATATATTAATCTGCTATCGCTATTCCCCCCTCCCCCCACGAAATTATAATTATAATTGAAAATTACCGCTGAGATACCTCCCCCATCGTTCCATACGTGGAAATTTAAATTCGCGTTTCGAAATGATCTCTGTTGCAGACGAAAACATTTTTCACGATTTGGTCGCAAAATCATTCGAGAGCCAGGGGCCGTAATTATTGAGAGAAATTCGCAGGATAACAATTATTTTCTTTTCTAACTGAAACATGTTTTCCATCGCAAATGACAATTTTTGAAGTTTCAAGAGAAATTTCTTCGTTGCTAATGACTATTATCGACGAGAGAAATTTATTTCGATTTATAGTTCTCGGCGAAGGGAAACTTTCTTCCGCGGTTGTCGATCACAATTTCTACGAGATTTGTATCAGAAATTTATTCCACGGTACTAAAAATGTTTTAACGCGGTTTTGGACGAATGAAAAGCAATATTTTATACTCTGCACCATTATGAATGGAGTTCATTCCTCACCGGTGATTGTTATACAAGCAATCGAATAAATAAACTTCCCTTATCGATAACAACTGCAGATTTTGCGCTCTGAATTAACTCTCCCTCTTGTAGATTATATTCATCTTTCTGCATTGTAAATCAACACGGATCGAATTCACCCTTTTGCAAATCAAGTTTGCATGTGAAATAAAAATTTCATTGCTTGCATGTGATAATACTTGAACAAAAGATAACATAAAATGACGTAAAATTAACATAAAATATTCGTGTTTAAAATTGAAAATTATATACATGTGTAGATTCATCTATAACACAGTTTCACAAGGGTTGTTTTATATACATATTTCATATAATAATTGTGACAATCTGTAGGGGTGATAGTTGCAACAGAATGATTAATAACATAAATGTTCACGGTTTGTAGGATCAGCAAAAATATTTCTTGCCCAGAATTTAATTTTCGAAAGAACTTTTTTGGGATTCGTCGTCGCGACAATGGTGGTAGAAATAATAAAATGTACCTTGCCTGATCAACAAGATTACTTCCAAAGTTTTGTAGAGATCTTTTGACAATTAATTTGACAAACAAAATGAGTCAGCCAAATGAGTGAATTTGATCTGTGAAACGACAATAATGTGAATTCGATTTGCAAAGAGGTGGATATGATCTGCAGAAGAGTGAATTTGGAGTGACTGTAGAATTGAAACAGAATTCCTCTTGTTAATAATGACGATCGGCAACGAAAAAGATTTTCAGTCATCTAACCAAAATGCTTAATTTTTTTAATTACGTCTTCTTCTAAAATCTAAGAAAATTTTCTTCACATTTTGTGATTGATATCCTCAACTGTGACTTCAATTGCCGATCTTCTTCGCAAATAATTTCTGCGAATTTAACAGGGGCCGGAAATTAAAAAAAAGAAGCACTGTTATTTCCGGCCGTTGTTCGAAGCAGCGAAACAATTACACAGAAGGAAAAAAAAAGACAGAAATTTACTCGATAAATCGTCCGTGTGGAGAAGAGTTGTTTCGTTGTTGTTTTAAATCTGCAACTGAAATTACTCCTAGCTGGTTTTCGTTCTATCGGCTCTTTCAGACCGTACGAAGGCGGCGTACAAATAGGTACTGTATTCTATTAAGCTGTGAACTACATTACATGAAAAGAGTTAAAACCCCAGAGCGGAAGCGCGTCGTAATTAAATCCATCCGGAAGATGAGGCAGTAGAGATAGTTGAGCGAAACGAATTCCTCGCTAGTTTCGCACGAATGGAATCTCCTTTTGTCCTGACTGTAAAATTCTTCCATGCAATGAGACTTATAACCACGTTGTGTTATGCCAGTACATTCGGATCATCAAGTGTCGACGCGATCCGTGTAATGAAAACGCGCGCCGATACTTCAATATTTTAATTCGAAATGTCGCGCGGCAACGTGAGTGCCGGGCCACTAGTAAAACTTGGTTCTTTAGAAATAATTAACAGTCGGAAGCAATAATTAATAACTAGAGTTAAGGGAAAAATGTTTATCTAAAAGTTTAAATATTTATTTTTAACTCTTTCAGTATATATATATA